GATTTTGTCGTAGTCTGGAGTGGCTGTCTCCCGGAGTGCCGCCGCCTTGGCAAGCTCATCAGCTCTCTCATTTCCAGACGTGCTTACATGAGCCCTCAACCAAAACAGCCGTATCACTCTTCCCTCTTTTCTCATCTTCCCTATGCTTTCTTGAATGGCCTTTGATAGGGGGTGGCTTGCTTTAGGGTTTGCCAGCAGATCGAGCAAAGATCTTGAGTCACTCATAATGTTAACGACAGGTTTAGTGCTCGATTCAGCTAGTTTGGTCGCCCTGAGCAAGGCATAGAGCTCGGATTGGAAGACTGTACAGGATGGATCCAGTCTAAAGATGGAACTACTGATCTCCCTACCATCTTCCCACCACGTTAAAGCTGCTCCGACCCTCCCTTCTATCTTAATTCCATCGGTGTATATGTGAGGGCCGGTTAGTTGGTGGAGGTTTGTGTTTCCGATTGTTTCCAGTAGCTCATATTCCAATTTGACGAGTTTAGAGGGATGAGGTTGATCCAAGTGATTTACACGGTTTTCAAGCTCTCTTCCTGGTGGTAAATAGTCCAGTGTGCCTTGTTTCCTGGTTTGGTACAAGCTGGACGCTTCTTTTATTCTCAGGTCTAACGGAAGCAGACCCGAGATGGCAAGCGCGGAAGTGAGCGATACCGTGCGGTACGCTTTACAGATCTTCTGCGCGAAGCCCCTTTGCAACGTGTTTAGTTGGTCTTTGATCATCTGAAGTTCTGTTGCTGAGGACCACGCGCTCGAAACGTACATCACTATAGGTTCGACGACTGCAACGTATATTGTCCTTATAATCTCACCATTGAGACCCCAGGTCACCTTGGCCGCGCATGCAAGCTGTTTGTATATGTCAGCCGCTTTTTTTGCATACGGCTGCTACATGCGGTTTAAAGGTGAGTCCACGGTCAATGATGAGACCGAGTACTTTAATTTCCTTTACGAGGTTTACTCTGCTGCCGGACATTTGCAGGTTCGGGAGGTCAAATTTAAGTTTTTTAGTGACAAGCATTGCATTTGTTTTATGCGCTGCAAACTTTAGCTTGTTCTGGGTTCCCCACTTCTTTACTCTTTTTAGAGTGTCATTGGCCTGTTGCTCCAGGGCACTCGTTGAGTGACTCGAGAACACCAAGACGACGTCATCTGCAAATGCCTGACAATACACCCCTTCGTTCGTAAGTTGGTGCAGCAGTGAGTCTAGGATAACATTCCAAAAGGTTGGTCCACCGATAGATCCTTGAACACAGCCCTTCGTAGTTCCCCTCTCACTCGTTGCTCTGGCATAGTTAATTACGATTTTTCGATCTTGAAGGTAAGAGCCAACCATATCGTAGAGGTTTTTGGGACATTTCTTTTTGGCTAGTTGCAGTTTTAATGCTGGCCACCATGCGTTGTCAAAGGCTCCCTCTATATCTAATGAAACAACAAGGACGATCTTCTTATTCCTCACTTCGTTTTTGATGTATTTCAATAGATCATAGAGGGCGTCCTCTGTACCACGTTGAGGCATGAACCCATACTGGTTTTTATTAAGGGTTGGGAGGATGTACCACCGGAGTCGGCCCACCATCAACTTCTCGACTATTTTCCGAGTACTGACAGGAGACCTATTGGTCGGTATGACTTTGGATGTGTATAGTCATCCTTTCCTGGCTTACGGATGATGACCACATGTGCAGTTTTCCACTGCTTGGGAAAATACGCCAATTTCAAGCACTTGTTGACTATCGCTAAGAATACCTTCCTGTTGCAGTTTATTGCAGCGGAGCAGATGTCAGCTGTTAGCCCGTCTGGTCCAGGGGCCTTTTTGGGGTTTAGTGTTTGTAACACTGATTCAAGCTCCGCTTCTGCAAAAGGTGGGTCATCTTCTGACAAACCTAGGTCTTTGTTAATTTCCGTCAGCTCTCGTATTTTGGTGTGGTATGGCTGATCTGTTTCCACACAGTCGTCAGGGTAAAATGTTTGGGCCAAGAGTTCTGCCGACTCTTTTGGTGTCAGAGTTTCCCCTTGGATGTTTCTTAGGAGCATGTCCTTATATCTTCTCGAGGATTTCCGGATAACTCTGTAAATTTTATCCCACATGCTCTCCCTTTCCTGTGTCGTGCAGAATTCCTTCCAGCTTTCGGTTTGCGCCTCCTCAACTTTTATGGTGTATTGTTGTTTAAAACTTATGTATTCGTCTATTACGTGTTGTCTTCGACTTGGTGCCGCATTTCTAATACGTCTTTTTTTCCTATGGACTTCTTTTTTGAGTTGGTTGAGGGATTTTGACCACCATGGGGGCGTTGCATTCACCCCCCTCATACCCATTTTCGGAATAGTCTCATCACAAGATTCCTGGATTGCTTTTGTGTAGGCTATTGTGATGGATTCCAGATCGTCATGGATTTCCGCCTCCTCAATTAGTGTTGGAGTTATGGCTATTCTTTTAGAAGGGATCTAAAGCGTGTTGAGAAGTCCGACCAGTTTGCCTTTCTGGTGTTGTATTTGCGCGTTGTGCAGGGCCGTAATTGTGTCAAGACCGCTTTGGAGCGCAGTGTAAATGATATGGCGTTGTGGTATGATGTAATTAGGCTTCTCTCCACTCTCCAGTCCTCCACATTGCCGAGAAGTGACGAACTGCAAGCAGTGACGTCTACTATGCTCGAACAAATTCTCCCCCTTCTGTATGTTTCGAAGGTAGGCGTGTCACCCGTGTTCAGAATATGGAGATCCATTTCATTAAAGAAGGTGTTATATGCCGCGCCTCTTTCATCTTCGGAATTACTTCCCCACCATTGGCTCCAAGCACTTATGTCTCCAGCCACTATGATGTTGTTTGTGTGAAGTTTTGCGCAAGCTGCTTGGATTCGCCTAAGGTAGGGATTTATATCTTGCTCTCCCTCGAGGTAAACTGACACGACTCCCAGTTTTAAATTTCCTGCAACGAGAAGTACTGCCGCTTCTGTTTCGGTAACCAGCTGTGGATCATGGATAATCTCCAGCTGATCTCCGAAGATCAGCACTGCGGCCTTTACCGGTTTTGTCTATTCAGGCTGCATTGAACTACTCGCGTGCCAGGATGTTCTTTAATAACGCCATTTTTTCCCACATAGGGTTCCTGTACTATGGCAATCGACACTCCTTTATTCGATGCAACCTGAAGTAGTTCCGCCGTTGCTACCCTGGAGCGTTGCAAGTTCACTTGAATGATTTTGAGGTCTGACCTACTAATGTTGGAGTTTATATTATTTTGGTTGCCCTTAGCAGTAAGATATGCGGGACCGTGCTATTGCATCCCACTTCTGCTTTTCCCGGCAATCAAAGCTAAAAGCATTGTGTGCCAGGTCCGTATCGGCACCGTGCGCTTTGAGGCAATTTTTACATCGGGGGGTCTCCCCTCCAGTCTGATCGGGCATTTGTCCCATGAATGGGTCTCTCCGCAGTGACTGCAGAGTTCCTCCTTTTCATGGCACACTGCTTTTGTGAGGCCAAAACCGAGGCATTTTGTGCATTGCACAAGGGGAGAGTGATCCATTATTGGTCTTCTTTGGAGGCCGATGTAAATTTTACCCGCATCAATGAAGCGCCTGTGCACTTTTGGAGAGAGCTCAAGTACAGGATGGCACTCTTGTGGATACCTCGCCTTTTTCCTGTATCGAACTCTGACTGTTCGTTCTTTCTCATCGACGTCATGCAGAAGGTGTTTGTTCTGCACTAGTATATTTTCCACGATTTCGACGTCTGTGTGATACGATAGCACGTCCCTGATTATCGCCAAGGGATTGTTTGTTCTGGCAACCTCTACTTTTAAACTTTTATTTGTCTTAACTCTATTTTGGACAAGGTTAAGATCCTCCTTGGTGTTGCAACTGAGGACGACTTTTTGGTTTTTCGCCTTCCTTACCCTATCTACTTTGGCTCCAGTCTTTTTTGTGTCTAGAGCCTCCCTGATTCTCTCGATGATGTTTTCGGCTGTGTTTTTCGAATCAGTTGATGTGATAATGAGAGTGTGATTGGGTTTAGGAAGGGGAGGGCTTGCAGCCACTCTGGCGTATGTCTTTTTTGGCTTTGTTGCTGCTTCGCCAGTTTGTGCAAGCTCTGTTGCTAGACTTGGGGCTGTAGGTGATGGGGCCCGTTGCTTCTGCTCTCTCATCGTCCTCAGCTCGGATGACATTGCACCTAAGTGTTCTTCTATTGGTTGAAGATGTTCCCTTATGCTGGTTTGGAATATTTTACTGGAGTCCGCCGAAGGTAAGATTGAAAGTCCAGATCTGATACTTGTATCTATCTCCTTCAGCGAACTCTTCATTCCATTCAGCTCATGTTCCAACGTTTTACTTATTTCCTCTGAGGGGTGGGATGGTGGTGACTCCAGGCGTAGCAGGGTTTTTTGGCCGGTCTCCAGAACCTTCTTGGTGTTGTTTTCGGACTTTTCGATGACTCTGCGCATTTCGTCCAATTGAAGTTTGAGTGTTTCCACACTAGATTTTACTCCAGTAAGGTCCACTCTTAGGTGAGATAAGATGTTGTCTGCACCTTCTTGCTTCTGCTAACTCAAGTTCGACTGGATCACACCTATGCGCTTGTCTAAGTCCGTCACAGCTTTGAGTAGGTCACTCGTTTTGCGGAAGGGCTCTTGGGTTTCAAAGTTTAATCAACCCCGTATCGCCTTGGATTCCTGGAGGGTATTTTTTATATCTGTCCTGGCATGGCCTAGTTCGGAAGCCATTTCTTTCATAAGCTGGGTGATGATCTTGTTATGGGCGCGCTCCACTCGCATTAGTTCTTGAGCGTTGCGTGAGCGTTCCCTTTCTAGATTATGCTTATGTCTAGATCTGGAATCTGACAGCGCCAGGACTAGAGGGACTGCAGACTCTCTAAAGCTGTTAACTTACACTCCCTCTTCATATTCCCTGCCATTTCTAGCGCTTCATTCCCTCTCAGAAGCATTTCGTTCGCTTCTTTTGTTGCCATATCCATTTCCACCCCCCAGTCGCCTGTTGGAGTTAAAAAGCAGGCTGGGTCTTCCTTTTTTCCGGTGCCTCCGATAGTGGTGATTCCGGCGCAGATGTGATCGAAAGTTCTTCGTCGGATAAAACTGGAAGTGGAGGAATTTCTTCCTGCTTCCAGTTAGCTACTTTGTCGATAGTCGCATCTACCGGGTCACAAACGGAGGATCGGATCGAGCTGTCGCTTTTAACTGAAGTTTGCGACATTTTAGTTCCCAGAGTGGGGGTGTGCGAAGAGGCATTTTTTCTTGTTGTAGATGCGTCTGTCGGAGCAGAGTCCGCTGGACGTTTTCCTGTTGCGGGATGAGATGATGGCTGCGACAACTTCTCGCTAGGTGTTGCTTTTGATAAACTGGATTTTGTAAGTACTTTTTCCCGCAGCGATCGTGGAGGTCTAGGTGGAGCAACAGAAAGGTTTTGGGAGGACTTGATTGAAGAAGCAGTCTCCACATCCGACATGATTACTTTATTTCCTGACATAATTACAAAAATTAAAAGATTCTCTAATTGTAAGTTGCCTTAGTAGCTATAAATATAGGTAATGCCTTATAAAATATTATACAAGTATTATATATTTTTTAATATTTGATGATATTTATTATAATTTTTTTTGTGAACTCACTGCTGGTGTTCTTCGATGGTTGAATTGCAGTGAGGAGTACGATGGACGCGAAGAAAGAGTCCGTTGTGGGATCTCCGGTTGGTATGCTGTGAGTCCTGGAGTATGCTTGAGGTGTTATTGTCCGGGTTGGTATCGGACTATGGTGGAAAATCAAAGTTCTGTAGGGGCCAGAAGGTAGAGCTCTTTTTCCTGATTCAAATGAGCCCTTACACGGGGGGGTCTAGCTCCTCTGGTAAACTAGTTATGGCTCGCGGGGGAGAGGTAAGCCTCGAGGGGCGAGGGGGAAGGGGGTAAATTCGCGGGAAGCTTATATATGGTAAAATAAAAAATGAGGGGGCGTAGGTAGTTGGGGGGTGGGGGGGGTAGGGGGAATTCGTAAGGAGCGTATATCTGGTATAAAATTAAAGATTGTAGGGGTTAGGAGGGTAGGAAGGGTGAAAGAGGGTATTATAGGTGGGGGGGGGTTCAAGGATAGGGGTTGTTATATGGGGGAGGGAGGTGATATGTGTGGTGGGGTCTTGAGAAACTGACTCAAATGAGTCCAAACTCGGGTGGTCGGGAGTAAGGGGTCTAGGAGTTCCCTCGGGGTTTCCTGATAGCCGTTGAAAGTGTCTCCAGCTGCGGCGATTGTATGCTTGAGGGATTCCTCGGTCCGTCTTCGAAGGCTCCACTGAAGTCTGCACCGTCGCCGGACGCCTTGTGTTCACTGACTCGCTTTAACCTCAACGTCTGAAAGCACGTTGCAACCAAGTGGTTTGAGGTTAAGTTGTTAATTTTAAGGAGTCAATAACTTCTGTGTTTGTGGGCCGATTTTCTTTATTCTTTCGCCGTTTTACTGATCTCTATAGCGGCTCTCAAGTACTGATGAGTACTTGGCAATTTTGCTGATGGTGTCGACACTATTTATCCCCAAAGTTAAGAGGCTACTGCTCCTAAACCATCCAATGCACAGAGTTCTCCCCAATTACACTGATGAACTGCACACTCAAAAACTTTTTCACAGCACTTCCACTCGCGTAGCTCAAAAATTGCTATTTTTAAGCAATTTCTCCGTGGAGCTTATGTTGAATATGTCACTTTCAGATGTGTACCCGTTAGGTTAGGTTAGGTTAGGTTAAGTTAGGTTAGGTTAGGTTAGGTTAGGTTAGGTTAGGTTAGGTTAGGTTAGGTTAGGTTTTTTTTTTTTTTTTTTTTTTTTTCTGTATGCTTTGCTGCTTCCCTCTGACATGGGGGTCAGAGACATTGTCAGCTCGACACGGACTTTGAATTCTTATTTTT